TTAGTAGATTAATTCTCTGTGGGATTTGAGTCTGGACTTGTAAACTAGATTTTATTTGCAACGACCGCTAGACCTCTTAGGTGGCTCTTAGGAGGCATTGTTGGGCGTGATCAAATTTTGGATCTGTTACCAAGGAATTAACGGTGTTATTAATTACAACGAGCAGAATTGCTAGGATTATTAATTTTGTCAACCTTCTTGAGTTTAGTTTCATTACATAGAAATTCTAACGTTCGTAGTCTTATGTGTTATAGGTGCATGCCTAGAAACTCCTCAAGAATTGGTAAATTGTTTGAACCATTATCAGACCCTGAGAAAGCATTCAAGGCACTAAATCGAGCAAACAAGAAAGACAAACAACAACAGAACTCAACAGAACGAATTGAACTAGACATGGGTGATGTCATAGACAATCGAAACAACAGAAATATTGTGAACGACCCGAATAATCAGGGTGTAGCACCTCTTGTGCCAGAAGCAGCCTTGTTTGATTGGGCACAACCCACCACTGAAAATCTGACAAACACAATTGCAGTCCCTCAGATACAAGCAAAATTATTTCAAATCACAAACAACATGCTACATCTGTTGTAGAACAAGGGATTGTTTTCGGGGTCTTACATTGAAGATCCACAGTAGCATCTGAAAAATCTCTTGTCGATTTGTGTCATTCAAAGGCAACCGAATATGACACTGGAAGAAATTAGACTGTTGTTGTTTCCATTCTCAGTGGCAGGAGAGGCTCAAACGTCACTCAATTTGCTCCCCATAAACTCCATCACTACTTGGGAGGAATTAGTCAAGTAGTTTTTGAACAAGTTCTACCCACCCAATAAGACTGCCAAACAAGTTGATGAGCTATTAAGCTTCAAGCAGAAACTAGCTAAAAACACTGCAAGAAACGTGGGAGAGGTTTAAGGGGATGTTGGTCAAGTATCCCCATACCATGGCATTCCTCATCAGATGTTGGGACAGACCTTTTACATGGGATTGACAGATAGCTTAAAGGCAAATGTTGATGCTTCAGCAGGTGGAGCATTTTTGAGCAAATCATTTAGTGAGTGTAAGGTCCTACAAGATAAAATCGCTCAAAACTCAGGGTGGATGACAAGGGACACTACAATCACTCCTATAGTTCACTCAGTAGATCTAGACCCAAACAACTCCTATAGTTCACTCAGTAGATCTAGACCCATCATTTGCCACTCTGATGATGCAAATGAGTATCCTCACCAAGAAGATTGATGAATCAGAACAAAAGTAGGTACACATAGTTGATACGACTAATGGAGGCTTATGCACACCTTGCATTAACCAACCATATGTGTGTTCGTGGAACGGTGAAAGTGACAGCCAGAACTACTAAGAAAATATTAAGTATGTGTGCAACTTTGGGGCCCAGAGACAAAGTGGTCAGAATTGGGGATAGCAGAATCAGCAGTATAGGCTATCACAATAGCAGTACAATAATAATAACAATCCTGGAGCTATATGACCATAAGGTCAAGTTGTGCCTTATCAAAGGCAGTAGGGGTACAATCAGCAGAATCAACAACTAGCTTATGAACAACCTCAACAGCAACAGATAGTGAGAAAAGATGACGGGTTGTTCAAATTTAAAGGAATGTTGCAACAAGTCATTGGGTCTAGCGGGAGGATGGAAGAAAAGGTCCACCAGATGCAAGAAAATGTAGTATCACACGACTCAACTATCAAGGGCATTAAGGTTCAACAAGGGCAGATATCCATGGCCCTTAACAATTGTCCTCAAGGGACGTTACCTGCAGACACATATGTCAATCCGAAAGAGCAGGCCCGGAGCATCTAATAGTGGTGAGTCTACGAAATAGTAGAGATCTTGATCTAGAGAAAGAAATTGCTCGTGAAAGCCGACAACTGAGATACTTGTGTCAGTGACACTTGAGTTAGATAAGTCAAGAGCTAAAAGAAGTAGCAGTGCAATATGCCCGGGGGTAACTAAACAAAGAAAAAGAGGTTACAAAGAAAATTGAGCAAGGGCAAGAGGAAGTATCTAAAAAAGTGTCTGAACAGAATCCCACCCAAATCATAGGAAGGAAGAGACCTCCAGCACCCTTCCCGCAGAGGTTGGAAAAATATCAGAAGGATGAGCAATATAAGAAATTAATGGAGATTTTGAAGCAGATTCAGGTGAACATCCCAATTATTGATGCCTTGAGGGTGATGCCCGATTATGTAAAAATGATGAAGGACTTGATGTCATACAAGTTCAACTTTCAAGAATTGGAAACTGTGACATTGACTCAGACCTGTAGTGTTGTTGTGACAAGACCTATAGCTGAGAAGCTATCCGACCCAGAGAGTATCAAAATTTTGTCCACCATAGGCAGCTATGCTTTTGTTAAAGCATTATGTGATTTGGGGGCGAGCATAAACTGGATGCCCTTGCCTATCTATAAAAAGTTAGGCATTGGAAGAGCAAGGCCTATATCTATGTTATTATAGCTAGCTGACCGAACGGTGAAGAGGCTATCAGTTATACTTGATGATGTACTTGTGCAGGTTGGAAAGTTTGTGTTTCTGGCAGATTTTGTTATTCTGGACTGCCAAGTTGATGAAGAGATTCCCATATTTTAGGAATGCCATTCCTGGCCACAAGGAGAGCTCTAATTGATTGTGAAACTGGGAGCTAAAGATGAGACTAAACGATGAAGAAATAACATTCAATGTGCAGAAGTCCATGCGGTGACCTAGTGAGTATGCTAATTGCTCTCTGATTGAAGCAGTGGATGTGATTCTGGAGAAGGAAGATAAGGCACTGAATGCAAAGGACCCTCTAGCAGCCTGCCTCATGAACTTAGAAGAGGTAGATAGTGAGGACTTGGTGGAGTGGGTTTTGGCTATTAAAGGCCAAGGGTACTGGAAAAGAGAGCTCGAATTCGAGACATTACACTTAGAGAAAAGGAAGAACCCTCTAGATAAGTCGTCAATAGAAGAGCCACCACAGTTGGAACTGATACCGTTACCATCTCACCTCAAGAAAGCTTTCTTAGGACCTAACTCATATTTACCTGTTATTATCTCATCTACTTTGTTAGATGTGCAGGTAGAACATCTTTTGCAGGTGCTGAAGGAGTGAAAAACTACAATTGGGTGGACCATTGCAGACATAAAGGGTATCAGCCTAACATTTTATATATATAAGATTCTACTGGAAGATGGGTACAAACCTTCTAGAGAACATCAACGAAGGTTGAACCCCAACATGAAAGAAGTAGTGAAGAAAGAAGTGTTCAAGTGGTTGGAAGCAGGAATCATTTTCCCCATCTTTGACAGCAATTGGGTCAGCCCAGTTCGGTGTGTGCCAAAGAAGGGTGGAATGAGTATCGTGCACAATGAGAACAACGAGTTGATCTCAATAAGAACAATTACGGGATGGCGAATTTGTATGGACTACAGAATGTTGAACAAGGCCACTCGAAAAGACCATTTTCCTCTACCATTCATTGATCATATGTTAGATAGATTGACAGGGAGGTCCCATTTTTACTTCCTGGATGGATACTCGGGGTATAGCCAGATCTCTATTACCTTGAAAGATAGAGAGAAAACTTCATTCACCAGTCTATATGGCATATATGCTTTTCGTAGAATGTCGTTTGGCCTATGCAATGCACCTGCCATATTCCAAAGGTGCATGATGGCCATCTTCATAGATATGGTAGAGGACATAATGGAGGTTTTCATGGATGATATCTCAGTGGTGGGAAACTCATTCAATGACTGCCTTATGAATTTGAGAAGAGTACTAAAGAGGTGTATGGAGACTAATCTGGTACTGAACTTGGAAAAGTGCCATTTCATGATACTGGAAGGTATAGTTTTGGGACACTTAGCGTCAAGTAAGGGCATTGAGGTGGACCGTTCTAAGGTTGATGTAATAGAGAAGTTGCTACTACCTACTTCCGTCAAGGCCATAAGAAGTTTCCTTGGTCATGCCGGCTTCACAGGCAGTTTATAAAAGATTTTTCCAAAATTGCTAACCCTTTGTGTAAATTGCTGCAAAGGATCACCCCTTTGTGTTTTCTAATGACTACAGGGTAGCTTTTAAGGAGCTGAAAAAGAGGTTGGTGTCGGCACCTATTATAGTTGCACCTAACTGGGAACAACCATTTGAGCTGATGTGCGATGCAAGCTACTATGCTGTGGGAGCAGTGCTTATGCAGCGAAAAGAGAATGTCATGCACCCAATCTATTATGCAAGTAGAACCTTGAGTGGCGCCCAACTAAACTACACTGTGACTGAGAAGGAGATGCTAGTAGTGGTGTTCACATTTGACAAATTCAGGTCATACCTGATAGGCTCGAAGGTAATTGTTTATACGGACCATGCTTCTCTCAGGTACCTAATTGAGAAGGAGTCAAAGTCGTGCCTTATTCGATGGGTGCTACTACTACAATAATTTGACTTGGAAATTCGTGACCAAAAGGGAATGGAGAACAAAGTTGTTGATCACTTATCTAGGCTTGAAGGAGCTGAAAAGAAGGTAGAGGTGGAAGAGATCGTGAAGACCTTCCCAGATGAACAACTTTTAGCCACGAGCCTTGAGGTAGTGCCATGTTATGCAGATATTGCAAACTACCTGGCGAGCGGTATTCTTCCCTATGACTTGGCCTTTGTGCAGAAGAAAAAGTTCATTCGTGATTGTCGCATATATTTTTGGGATGAACAATATTTGTTCAGGATTTGCTTTGATAACATGATCTGGAGATGTATCCCCGAGATAGACCAATCTTCTGTTTTGCAGGCATGTCATGCTTCGCCTTATGGAGGCCATTTTGGAGGAGTAAGGACAGCTGCTAAAGTGTTGTAGTCGGGATTTTATTGGCCGACGTTGTTTAAAGATGCACACTTTTGGGTGAAGAGCTGTGATGAGTGCCAACAGACAGGGAATATTTTCCGTCGACATGAGATGTGCATGAACCTAATACATGAGGTGGAAGTATTAGATGTATGGGTAATGGATTTTATGGGACCATTTATCAGCTCATATGTCAACAAGTACATACTGGTAGGTGTGGACTATTTCTCGAAATGGGTAGAAGCTGTGGAACTCCCGACAAATGATGCAAAAGGAGTCATTGGTTTTTAAGAAAAAAAATCATAACTCGATTTGGCACTCCAAGGGTGATCATCAGTGATGGAGGCACTCACTTTTGCAACCGAGCCTTTGCAAAGTTGTTAGAGAAATATGGCGTTCTCCATAAGGTTACCAGTCCATATCACCCACAAACAAGTGGGTAACTGGAGGTGTCAAACAGAGAAATCAAGAGTATTTTGACCAAGAATGTAAATGCTACTCGGACTGATTGGGTCAGAAAACTGGATAATGCACTATGGCCTTACCGCACTGCATTCAAAACTCCGATTGGTATGTCACCGTACAAAAGTAGTATCTAGAAAGGTGTGTCACTTATCAGTGGAGTTAGAGAATAGGGCATTCTGGGCATTGAGGCAATTAAATCTTGACATGGAGGTCGCTGGTACGAGTAATGTCATAGAGTTGCATGAACTTGATGAGTTCCGCTATCATGCTTTTGAGAGCAACCGGCTGTACAAAGAGAGGATGAAGATGATCCATGACAAAAATATTGTGGGCGAAATTTTAAGCCTGGAGACATGGTACTATTGTTCAATTCAAGAATGAAATATTTCCCAACTAAGTTGAAGTCACAATGGTTAGGACCATTTCGTGTGCAAATGGTAAATCTGACTGGAGCAGTTGCAATTGAGTCGGAAGATGGAGTTAAGAAGTTCACGGGCAATTGGCAAAATTTGAAACATTACCTTGGCATGGATGAGGAAAATGTTGTGTCAGTGATTTATTTGAAGGAACCCAAGTGTTGACTGAACCTTGGGTATGATTGACTCCGTCGTGCCGCGACGTTAAATCAGGCGCTTCGTGGGAGGCAACCCATTGTAATATTATATTCGTCATGCCAAGATGTTAACTAAAGCGCTTGTTGGGAGGCAACCCAATTCTTAGTTTATTTTAGCTTAATTAGACTTTTTTTGTTTTGAGGCACTAACAAGTTTTTAGTTAAGTCTTGGTGTTTTAACAGGTACTGGAGCTCGTTGGGAGGTCATAACACTTGGAGTAGTTCACAAAACGGAATGGAAACCACTTGCGTATGCTCCGGACCTCGCCAAGCGAGGCAAGAATCAAGTGAAATAGTTAGCATCGTGCGTTCTAAAGCGCCCTGGATCTCGCACCCGAGGTGACGTCATGCAGTATATAGCACACTTGACCTCATGCTGGTCCTGATGCCACGCACTCTACAGATCGCTTGACCTTGATGACTACCTCGCGTTTCCAATTTTGCCGCGCGGTGGGCGTCGCGTCGCAGCTCGCGAGGCTAGTTAAGTTTTCGGCCCTTTCCTTTTTATAAACCACCCTCCCCCAACCAGTTTAAAACATCAACAAACCATACACACACCTTACATAAAACACCCACCTATCCCTAAACACAACACACACACAACCGCCCAAACACACATGCTCTCCTCTCTCCGAAACCCCACTGCCCCTCCCCTCCACCTCTCACTCACATCAAAACCCCATTAAATCCACTCATTCATACACTCATTCAATCACTACTGCCGTTAATTAAAGACCAATCCTATTTCCCAAACATCTAAGGTATGATTTATAAATCTTTCTTTGTCAAATTTCGAATTGGGTGAAGTGATGAACTAGGACAACTTTTGGGTATGTAGATAAGCTAATAGTGTCTTGTTTTATTTTTTTATTATATAGTGTGGGGTGGGGGATTCTTTAGTTTTTAGGATTGCTTTTAGTTGTTTAATTAAAAAAAAATATATAGAAAATCGAAAGAATTTATATATATATATATANTTCCCGCTAACACGATGATGAATTAAACACATTTTTTGCAGAGATATTACTGTGCAATTACGACCAATTACTTCAAAGTAACCTTCATATAGCACAAATATATGCAAGTTAACAAATAAAAATGAAAATGAAATTCATTAAAAATCAATGATCAACGTAGAAATAGCACCCACTTGTTGCTTTTTGGCCCTGTAATTTAAAAATAGCCACTGTTATAAAGTCTAAAATGTGGCTATTTATGAATTTTACCCATGTTTTACAGTCAGGAGAGCCCATATATAATGGGCTGAACTGAACTTATTCTACGTTGCAAAATGTGGGCCGGCCATTTAGATTCAAAGCCCATTAACTGCTGTTTAATTCCGTGTAATTGGCATCGGTTTCGGTGGGTCTTCCAAATATAGTTGTAGTTAAAGCAAACAAATTATATATATATATATATATATATATATATAAATGATTGGACTTTTCCCGATGATGGATCTCCTAGGCAATTTTCTTGAGGGATTAAAGTCTAATCAAAAACCAAAAAAATTATCTTTTAGGTAGTAATAATCCCCCATAGTTTTTCTTTGTGCCTTGGTTCTTTTTCATGGGATATTATTGAATCAGGTAGTAGTTTTTTATTTATTTATTATTTTTAGAGTAGATTAGGGTTTAAGGAATAAAAGGATGGGAAAATGTGATTGCTAGCTCCTTTTGACTTGTTTGATATTACCGTATTTTGGCTCTAGCATGTGTATTACCATCCCTATGGTTTGAAAGTGCTTATGATGCCTTATTGAGTAGATAGCATATTTATTGATGCCTATGTCTCATTTTCTTGGCTTTTGTCACTTTGTGCTTAATGCTTAATATTTTGTGACTCCGTGAATACTCGCTATTGTTTGAGAATCGGAATGGAACCGTCCTTAGTGAGTCATGTGCCATGTATGGTGATAATTTGTGTTGTGCGTGTTATTGCATTAGAGTCTAGAACTTGCCCGGCATGTGAGTTGAAGCGAAATCCTAGGCTTTGCTCGGTTTGAAAAATAATTTTAGGATTTCTTTGATATTTTTGAGCTTAATGCTTACCACAAATAACAATTATCCATAGTCAACCCTTTTGAGCATGTAGGCTTTTATTTGGCAACCACATTACAAGCATATATCCCTTTGTTCTTAATTGCTATTGTTTTGATCATGTTACATCTTAAAGTACAGTATTTGTAAAATGAACACTAGAGAAGTAAGAAGGAAACTTGGGTGGTGTTTGAGTGGAACCAATGAAAGAGAAAAAGTGCACGTGTTTTGCAAAAGAATACACTATCAGCGGTAATTTTAAAAAAAAATTGCAAAACAAAAATAAATGTACATAGAAAGAAAGAAAGGTAGATGAATAAATTTATATATTGTCCTTGCTATTAGGTGTGAAGTAAAGTAGTGCTTAAAGAAAAAGGAAACGCTTTTGGGATGATATTGTTTGTGAAATTAAAGCTGGGATTGAAGAAGTTGCGCTTAAAGTTAAATATGTGACGTGTTAAAGTGTTTAGGAGGGTGAGCCACTATTCCAAAAATATATCCTACCCATCTCTTAGCCCACATTACAACCATGAAAAATTTCTAATTGATTTTAGATCGAGCAAGCCTACATTAGTGGAGGTTTACATAATGAGCAAACCTATAGTACTTTGTGTGTGCATGTGACTTCTTTGTGAGAGTGAAGAATTTTCTTTAGATATGTGAGTCCTTAAAATATATGTGAGCATTTGATTCGAATGTATGGATAATTTGCTCTTTTGTTCTTGTTGAGATGGCGCATGATTTTGCGAGGGATAGGTGACATTATTAGATTTCTCTATGATGTTAAGTGTTCAAGCCATGAATGCATTGTGATATTGAGTCAGTTTGTGAGGCTAGGATTATTATGAGCATATTGTCTTGGTGTTGAATAAATTTTTGAGATATGGTATAAAGTAAAGGGAAATGTGTTTTAAAGGCATATGCTAAAGTTTAATTGTGGCTATCAACCATAGTCATAGGTATGGTGTGCTTCGGATGTGTTAAAGGAAATAAAGTGCTCTAGGTTAGCATGAATTGGTGGTTGACTCGAGAACAAGCAACGTCTAAGTGTGGAGTGGTGATGTTTGGCCAGAATTCTATATATTTTGTACATTACTCGCCCTATATTTTGTTGATTATTGGTTAATTGTGTGACATTTGAGCTAATTTATGTTATTTTATGTGTAAGAGTATCGGAAGAAAGGGTCGAATAAAGTTGCACGAAAAGAGGACAAAAATACAAGAAAAGAGCACAAAAATATAAAATACCCAAGCCTGGCTATAGGCCACGTGTAGCCAGCTCTGTAGCCATATTGGCCATGTTATACGCCTCGCCTCGCAAGGTCCTAGGCACGCTACAAGCCTGGCCTCGCGAGATCAGGCGCCCGGTGGTCAAAAGTTCGTGAGATAAAATACTCCGACCCGGATTTGGACTCAAGGACCTGGATCCTAACATATAAATACTCCCTAAAGGAGTTGAGAAAGGGTGAGACATTATTTGGAGAAGAAAAAGGCTATAAAGCACTGTGGAGCAAGGAATCAAATGAGTTTTCCCTCTGTTTCTCTTTACTTTGTAGTTAACATCATGATGATTGTTTATACATTTATGAGTGGCTAAACATTCTCATCTAGGGTTTTATGTAACCTATTGGAGGATAATTTTCTACTGCGTTTAATATAAATTTGCCTTTGACTTTTCTCTACTTGTTCAACTACGATTTCATTATTGTTGATTGAAGAGCTCTCAATTGACTGTGCGTAATTAGTGTGTATTGCTTGGAAAAGGGTATACATTTAGGTATTTGTTGAACGACATCTCTCCTAACGTATATGAGGAATCAATACGAAGGGTTTAAAGGTGAGATTAGGAATAACGAAACCTTAGTGCGATTATAGTGAGCGGTAAACTAGTGCCAGCTAGCGTAGTTTGGAAGAATACGTCTAGTAGATTGTGGTAGTTGCTCAGAAGAGAATTACGACACCAAAAGTACTCACGATCGGTAAAGAATACTTAGGCGAATTTGTAAGAAACGTAGTGGGGAGGATTCCGACAATAGGAGAAATCATAACCCTAGACTTTTCAAATCTCGTCTACAACATTTGCTCTGTTAGTTATAAATTATAGCATTTTAATCACTTTACTCTTAATTAGTAAATACTCAAATTATTATTTAATATTTCTTAAGGGTGATTACTTGAATTCTTTCGAAACTAATGGTTGTGATTAGTGATTCGACTCCGAACTTGTAAACGGGATTATATTTGCAACACCCGCTAGACCTCTTAGGAGGCATAGTTGGGCGTGATCAACACACTTCACCCCTCTTATATGTAGGAGCAAGTCAAAATAACAAAAAGTTTTAGTAACTATATTGTTTCCAGGAAAATAGAGTAACATAATCTATAATTGTAGTTGCAGTAGTTGACACAGGATACAAATCGCAAAATCTTGATTTGTTCAAATCTTTCTTTAAAATTGATATGCAAAAATCTTGAGTCTTTGAGAGAGAGAGACGGCAAGGAGGCATCTCTAGGTTGTCCTCCCAAAAACATAATTATATGCTCCTTTTCACCACCGGATAGTACTGTTACCTTTAGTTTGTTATATTATAATTTATACAGATACTCCTATTCGACTATTATGAGAACTGAGAAGACAGATTGCCCAAATTCGACACTAATTATAAGCTTGAATCATTATAATCTAAAAAGCGCCTAACAAGTAATAGAGTAATTGTTTTATTTTCTACAAATGCAAATCCCAGTAATTGGAGGAGTTAAAAGCTTACACTTGGCATTAATTGTCGGACCAAAAGTAAATGAAGTTTCCCTCCTGCCCACAACTAGCGGCGGCAAAATGGATTAGCTATATTTATCTATAAGAAGACCCTTAACGAAATATTATTGCATCTTTTACCCTTTTAAAATAGAGTTTACACGAGACAAAATAGTCATTTATTTATTTTTTTAATTTTAAAATTTTAAAATGAACTATAATTTTAATTATTAAATCTTTCCTAATATAAACTATAAACGAATTAAATGCTACTACGTAGGATCATTAGAGTTTTACTGTTCCAAATAAGATATGTTCTAATCAAATTTGAGACAAAAACCAACACGCAATAATTTCAAACTATATATTCTTGGTACGTTTTTATCTTTTTAATGTTCCTCTCTTAATTTATTTCCACAACTTTGTGCATATTAATTCTCCTGCTACTCTCTCATTCCGCACAAAAATATGGACAAAGCCAAAAATTATTTATCAAAAAAAAAATAAATGTTGTTCGAGAAATTAAACCTCACGAAAAATAAACGTTAATACAAATCGGAGATATACGTAAAGATTATTAAAAGTTTTTATTCGTGTTAGCACTTTTATGTTGAATATATCTACTGAGATGATGGAAAACCTCTATGGGATATAATTTCCTTTTTTATTGAGTTAGTTACAATAGGATCAACAATTAGTATTTGAAGAACTTACGCTTTAATTATTAAATTATATATAACTCAAATGTAACTTTTATAGTATAATAGTTATGTTATCTTCTAAAGTTTTGTTTTTATGGGGATTAACTACATGCGCAACACGCGTAACAAGAGACTAGTTCACTAAAAATTGGGTTGGGTAATGAACTTTTTAAAAATTTACCAAATATGGATAAGATTCATATTATCCACTTAAATAATGAATAATAAATGGATAACCAATGGGCTTAGCTTTTATATTTGCAAATACTCAAATCGGAGGTTCTTCAAGTTTGGGAAACTTGAAATTCTACCAAAAGTGATCATATTCAAGAAGATATAGATAATATGGATATCCATATTATCAGTCGATTAAACTATTTTCTATCCGTATTAAATATGGGTCAGATTGGATAATTTATCCGTTATTACATTACCCGTTTTTACCTGCCCATAATTCGACCTGACCCCTCCTGTTTGCCAGCACTACCCACAGCTACTCAACGTTGACAATTGGTCCTTCGAAAGAGGAATTCGTAATTGGAACTGCCATGCCCCATTAATCCCCGTATGCGGTAAAATTGATTTATAGTAAATGGTCAAATAATAGCATGGCAGGTGGAACCGAAGACAAGTAAAAGGCGACACAAGTAACAATCAGTACCGGATGCAACAACTGCAATCGACATCGGGCAAATCCCAAAGGATGCGTGGTCAACAGAAGCAGATCAAGTGTTTGCCATCGGATAGCATTTAATGAGAGAATATTTGTTCACATTAAATGAGCAACCGTTATGGAGAATATTTGCATTCATGGTCTGCCGTTACATATTCATCAATGACTCTATTATTATCATTTAAGAGGAGCTTGATCCTCGGATGGTGCTTCTTTAGATAAAGCGATAAATAGTAGGCTCAGCAGCCATCGTAAGACACGAAAATTAAGTTGAAAACATATGCTTTATTTTACTTTTACTCTCAATTATATAACTTTACTTGTTCTTTATCATTGCTTTCACTTTTGTCCTCAGAGTCATTGCGCTCGGAGCCAGGCTTGTCATCTCTTTCAATTTCAATTACTAAATCTCATTTTTAATCTTATTTCTCTATCACTTTTGGATCAAATCAGTTCGCTTGTCTATAAATCACGTAACAAATTTAATTGTATCATCTTACGGGTAAACAGTTTGGCGCCCACCGTAGGGCTTATACAGTTGCGTAATTGCTTTGATCCTTACATTTGTTACTAACGTGTTTGATTTTTTCTTTAGCAAGAAATCAAAAATGGCAGCTAATGATGTCAACATCACACACAACATTGAGGGACGCAAAGATTTGCCTCAACATGAAGACTCAATCAGCGACACCCGTAACAAAGGGGGCGAAGCAACCCCAGTTCGTGAAGGGCAGTACCCTCAGCATGTGCGGGATCCAACTCCCAATGACGCGGAGGAGGAACATGTCGTGAAAACAATGAAAATCTTAAGAGAACAACAGAAAGCAATCATAAGTCACCTCTTAAGGCCGGACCGGGTAATGACAGAGTTGGAACAAGCGTTGTCGGGCGCTTCCAATAATGCAAATGGAAGGGGCCTGATTCCTCCCAACGTTCTTACAAATCAAATGCCTCAAAGAGTCGATAATAACACCACAAGGACTGAGGTCGGTTTCGACGGTGTTGGAGGGACCGGTAGTGAATCTGGTAATGACAACGGGAATGATCCCTTCAAATCTAAGCTTATGAGGTTTATGAGCGAAATGAACGAACGAATGGATCAAAATGTGAAGGAGTTCCACGCTTGGGTGGATCAAATTCCGGGCGCACCACCAATACTAAACAGGCTGCATCTTTAGGCATCCAAATACTTCTCTCTCTAAAATATACTCCAAGATAAAAACACAGAAAAGCTATGGATCAACAAGAAGATATCAAGAACCTACAAGAACAGGTATGTCATATTATAATTATGAATAGCTAAGTTATTATATTCCTGATAATCTCTTGTAAATTATAATTATCCATCATATAATAGTACTGTTATAGAAATCATCTTGAGAAAGTTTGCCATGAAAATATGCTAAGAGTAGGTAAGCCCAGACTATGCATCCTAAGGTTGAAACCGGTAGGCAGNCATATAATTGACTGTAAATATACAAAAGGAAAAGCCAAAATACCAATAATAAACAAAAGAATAATAAATAAAGAAATACAACATATAAAGGCAAAAAACCCAATTAAATATGTACACCTAGGAGGAACTAAAATATTAATAAAAGCATGTTTTAGGGAAGGAATAGATACCCCTATAGAAATATATTTAGCAGATGATAGAATAATCCAACCTATAGATAAAAGCATAATAAGTGCAATAAAAGGAAAAAGATGGATTGAAAATAAAAATAATATTTTTAAATTTAGGCAGAAGATATAAAAAAATAGGAGATCAATTATACCTAATGATAGAAAAGGAAACAGCAAGATTAGAAGATAGCTTGACAGCTATGACGAGAGTAATTAAAGAAAATGAGGAAATTGATAAGAAAAAAGAAATTGAAATTATTAAAAATCAAGCAAACAAGGAAATACAACAATTAGAAGAAACTAAAAACACAAAAATTATAGCATTAGAAAAAGAATTAAACATGTTAAAAGCACTATATGAAAACAAGCAAAGAGAGAAAAATAAAGAAATAGAATTAACAGATGAGATAAATAAATTTAAACAAATATTACAACCAGAAGAAATTCCCAGAATTGAAGAAATAGATAACAATATAGATGACCAAAAGTCAGAATCAAGTGAAATAAGTGAAACATATACAGAACTTTTAGAAAATATAGAAAAAATAAAAAATGTAGAAATAAATACAGGAGATGTAAATATGGATGTGCTTTATCTCTTCGTATAATATCTCTGCTGTAACTGAATAAAATCGTATATAGAATAATGTTCCTTTAGTTATTCTTTTGTATTGCATAAATGCTTTGTGTAATTCTGGTATGGTAGCTATCTCCTGTCCTGTTTGTGTAGCTTCAGTATCCAATAGTCCATAATTGTAGCAAGTAGCTATTAGTTTTGCATTTGTATTTGGTAGGGCTACTAATTTATTATATCCTGTTAGATAATGGGTAATGTAATCTTCATTTGGATTCTGGGTAGTTACGGTAGCAAAACAGGAAATGGACACCAAAACCAATATCTGAACAATATAATTTTTTAGATT